TTGAGACCCCATAACTATAGCACCACTTTCTGCTTGTCTTAATTTACCCAGCATTTGCATAGAGTTGACCATTTTTGTGTTTCGGCTGGGAAATTAAGCCCATGCATGAAAAACATAAGATGTTTTGCACTGGATCCAACTGTTGGTTCATCTGCCTCCTCAATTGCCATTCGGATTAATAGAAGCTTTCAAAAGTTTTCAGCCTTGGTTTTGTCCATTCTTTTTAATAGGGGATATCAGGGAGTGAATGCCTAAGTTCCACTAAGCTCTACTCCTAAGCTGTGGCTGGAGACACCCTAGCAACATCTAAAATGTTTGTGTCTGGTGGGTGCAAAGATATATGGCAATTCATTGCTGCAAAAAGGAGAAGCATATATCAGTGGGTTCAGCCACTCATCAAATTATACATAACATGATATCCCACTAGCATGGACACTGGAATCAAAGATTCCACTTATGGAAGACTTACAATCTGATCTATAAGTTAAGGAGCATAGACTGAAGTGAAATGATTGTGGCAGAAACAGAAGCTTTGTGAGCTCATGCATTGCTCCTGTATCGTGAACTGGCCCAGGAGCTGCAAAGTGGGCTGGGCAGATGTCTCAAGCCGCAAAAGCAGGCTTAACTGGAGCTGTTGTGCAGGGAAGTTGACGAACTGGGCTGTAGATATTGTGCTGGGCAGTGCTGTTTTTCTAGAAAAAGGGGTGCCCGGACTCACCATGAACGTCTCCCTTGTTCTCATATAATGTCTATTGTGCCCACCTGAGAGGTGCCGGAACTGAGTTGCAGCAAGTTGCAGCTGAAAAAAAGCCCTGGTGTTAGGTATGATGGACTTAGTGGCAAGCTGAATAGCTTTCACCCACCAACATCAGCCAACCCATAAGGTATCTGAAGGTTTGGTAGCTTTGTAATGGGGTTGTAAGGGACTGAGTGAACTTGCCACATCTGTCCTGCAAAGGATTCAATGTAGCTGTGCCAGGGTTAGCCAACCTGTATCCCGGGGGAGAGAGGACCATATTCTCTAAAGCATGGGTAGGCAAAGTAAGGCCCGGATCTAGCCCAATTGCCTTCTAAATCCAGCCCACGGATGATCCAGGAATCAGCGTGCTTTTATATGAGTAGAATGTGTCCTTTTATTTAAAATGCATCTCTGGGTTATTTGTGGGACCTGCCTGGTATTTTTATATGAGTAGAATGTGTGGTTTTATTTAAAATGCATCTCTGGGTTATTTGTAGGGCATAGGAATTCGTTCATTTCCCCCCTAAAATATAGTCTGGCCCCCCACAAGGTCTGAGGGACAGTGGACCGGCCCCCTGCTGAAAAAGTTTCCTGACCCCTGCTCTAAAGAATGTCCTTCTGGGGTCCACATGCCTACGGTGACTAGGGCCAAGGGCAAAATGTGATGTGACTTGTAACCTCACACAGTAGGCTACATTTGAGGCACAGATTACAGGTTTTCTAAATATTCTGACACAGCTGCCAGAACCTGGCATGGCAGCCCATTTCCCTTCTTCAGTTTGTTGGTTTTGCATCCCCTAAGTCCTGTCCAGATCAAGTCCAAGATTCAGGGTTCCCTTGTAACATGTAAAGAAGATGTAACGTTGGAGTGTACCGGTTTGCTTTGTCTGCCTGCCTTGCTAGCCCAACGTCCCGTCTTTGCATATGGAAGCTGCAGTTCATGTATGCTAATGAAGATTAAAATGGCAGCTCGTGTGGTTTTGTTAGACTGATACGTGAGTGCCAGTAAAAGTTTTCCATTAGCATATAAATGTCTCCGTTTGTTTGTCTATGCGCTCATTCATTCTCCTATCTTTCCTTGCTATCAATTTTGTGCAAAAGTGGAAACATCCTGAAAATCATAAAAGTTGCCGTAATAAGTCTCGGGATTTTTCTCCATGTCAATTGAAAGGAGATGGAAGGAGTTCTCTAATCCACGGAGGAACCTGCCAGGGCTCCTTGCTTCTCAGAACACTAATAATGCATTTAAGAGGCATTGCGTATCAGGATCTGATTTGGTTTGAATACACAGCTCTGCAAACGATCTATTTGCTTCCTCACAAAATGTTGCTTATAAACCCTCTTCTTTACAGTCAATCTTCCTGGAGGTTTAAAGGGGAGATATAACCTCCATTTCATTCTGTCCCCCCCCCTTTTTTCAAGGCAGCCTTTGAATATTTGCTCCCTTGCTCTTTAAATGCGAAAGTTCACAAAAACTCCCGTGATTTATGTATAGATTTCCGTCTGCCAACACCTGGCAGATGAAGGAGCCTCCTTAAGCTTCAGTCATAAACAGCAAGTATACAATTTAATTTTAATGTGCTCGTTAGTCGTAGCACATATCAGATATAATTGTGAACGCAACACAAAATTATAGCAAAAAAGACAATTTTAATGCGGCTGTAGAAAAAAGAAAAGAAAAGAAAGAAGGTTATATGAAGAGTCATATAATGGTGCCACATTGTCAACAACGGAAGAGGGGGCACAGAGGGTGCGATTCTGGGTCTGTGCTGTTTACATGCCAATATTGTACACATAGATTCTCATATGGTGTCAGCTGTCAGTTACTTCTGCAAATTAACTGCCAAAAATGGAGACGAACAGAATCACTTAGTGTGCTGGTAACCACGGGTTACCTTTCATATGCCTAAAGATAAAACTGCAGTATGAAATCTTGGGAGAATAATTAGGGAGAACAAAACAGAAAGTTACCAACTGAAAAGAAGAGAGAGAGAGAGAGAGAGAGAGGGAGGGAGGGAGGGAGGGAGAGAGAGAGAGAGGTGGAAAGGCATTCTACGATAGGAAATAACACAACCAAGAGTGCATATAAATAAGTGGAAGAGGGTATATCACAGAATGCCTCGTAACTTTTAAGCAAAGTATTACAGTACAAACATTTTAAAGGCTTTTTTTATCAATGTTTATGAAATACAGTACAAGGTTTTTTCCCCCCTTCAATTCTTCCACCCCCAAATAGATTTAACCCTTTGAGCACTGAGTTGATTTTGAATTTTTTCGCTTTTGAATTTTTATTATTATTATTCATTTTACTAATAAATACCTTTAAAATTCATGTTGTGCAAAATTAGGTGTAATGCACGCCAGTCCGTGGCTTCGTTTATCAGAATGCTTCTTCTTTCTTTCTTTCTTTCTTTTAAAAAAGGTAGCAAACAACGAATAAATATGTATAATTTAAACATGAACCTCTATCAATATAGATGTACTGTATAGCAAAAGGAAAACAACCATACTTTGCTTCAAGAATAATGTTTTTCTCTTTTTTGAACACTTTATAAATGCTATTGAGTGTATCTTTTCATATAATTTACATTATTCAGATGTTAAAAGAAAACCTTTTGACCTAGAAAAGAAATATACAATATTATTTTATATATTTATATATATATTTATATATTTATAGGTACCACTTATACTTGGAGCATATTAGGTACAAAAAAATTCACCCTTGATAAAAACGTTGAAGAAGAAGAAATGGCATTGTCCACAATCACATTTTCCATATGAGGATTCTGAAATCTGTACAATATATATATATACATCAACGTTTCAATGTGAAAATAATATAGCCTGAAAGTTCATGATGGGTGCCACCCCTGCAGTTGTGGGGGTGCGATAGATAATTCCAACAAAAGGCATATCCAGAAGGAGCATCCTATGGTCCCCATTTGGCACGGTAGCCTACAACCAGATTCACAAGACACGTCCCAGAGAAAGAAAAGTAGCTCTCTTTGTGGATAACAGCAGATGGTGTGGCAGGGCTCCACTGCTGCTCTGACTTCTGTCCGACTGAGTCTCAGCACCACACTGGGACAGAGAAGAGGAGGGCCTTGGTGGTGGTGGTCAGATCAGTGCAGTGTAAACGTGGCAGAGCGAATCCAGGGCTCTTGCAGCCTGTTTGCACCACACTGACCTTGCCACCAGTTTGCCCCTTCTCCACTCCATCCCGATATGCCGTAGCAACTCAGTTGGGTGGAGGTGAGGTGAGCAGCGTAGCAGCGCCACTCGATCAGTTGCTGCCTGTGGAAAGTTCAAGCAAACATCACACAAAGCCAAGCTGGGAGGACTGCTGGTCCACACCAGCCATAAGAACTAAGGGAAGAAAGGCCAGTCTGGGCGAAGACAGGCTGAACAATCTGGACTATGGATACTGGAAGTGCTGAAACAAGGTATCGGATCCCTGAAACAGAAGTGATTTTGGACATCACAGGAAGTGCCACCACCTAGCTGCTCAAGCAACCTGCGCATAAAGCTGGTAGCAATTCCATGCAACAGCCAAAGGGAAACTCACACAGGAGAAGCTGGTCTGCATTCTCCAGGTGAATCCTCTCCTTCAAACATTAACCAGCCAGATGCACAACCAACTAATGGACTGTGGCACATCTTGTTCAAGCCCATTCTTAGATTTGCTTGAATATCTCCTCAGCTGTAAGGGGGTTGTTGTTGTTGTAAAAAAGGAAAACATATACATACTTCATTAATATAATAATAATTATTCTTATTTTAAAAAAACCAAATTAATGCAAAAGTGCTTCAAAGTACTCAGAGGGCTAAAAATTTACAGGGTGAGAACGACCAGCACACTTGAATCACCATGGAAAAAGTGCACTAGAATTAGTTAATAAATGCTTAATTAAACTGTCTTGTTAATGCATGCAGCTCAAGGCATCGAAGGGATGCACAGCAACTAAACCCCAATTTACACAAAGTTCCAAACACTTACCACTGCGTTTTAACCTTCATATTTTACCAGTAACAACAGCTGATTATGCACCTCTATTAAACACTGTACAGTTATACAACGAAAGAGAGAAGTCGTTCAGGCCAAGAGTGACACCCCAGAGTTAAAGTAAAAATTATGTGCCAAGAACAGAAACTAAAAGGGGAGCTTTAAGGCGGGTTTTTTGTTTGTTTGTTTTGGACAGTTTTCCTCAAAGCCAAGTACAATTGTCATTGTGGTTTGGGTGTGTGTCAAAAGCAAATGCTACTGCTTTTCCAATTCACACACATAGAGAAGATGGTCCTCTGGAGACTTCCCGTGTGTTTTACTGAGATGGAGCTTAACGGCATGCTTGCTTGCAAAAGTCCTGTTGCAAAGTTTACACTGGTAGGAGGTCCCTATTTCTTCCTCTGGCGAAGGTGCCAACAGTTTCTCGGAGGGCGGCTTTGTTTGTGCTATCTGATTGTTAATCTGTTCACTGGACAGTTTGGACAAGTCTCGTAGCCTAAAACCTAGATGTGATTCAAGGTGACTGATGTACGTCGAAGGAGTTCTGATTTGGGAAGCACAGTCATTGCAAAAGAACACCGGGTGCCCAGTGTCCAAATTTTTAAGGAACTTTGTCCCCCCTGTCCTTCGGAGCTGGTATTTCACATTGGCCAGCCAGTGGCTAATAGTGGTCATTGAGAGCCCCGTAAACCTGGAAATGTGCATCCTCTCCTGAGGGCTCAAGTCCGACATGATGTATTTCCCCTCCGATGTCTGCCGCAAGCTGGCTGCAAACTGTGCCTGAAGAATGAGCAAATGCTGAGGGTTCCAGTTGGACTGGCGCCCCTTCCTCTTCTGAGCCGGGGTCGCCTCTTCCGGTTCCTCTATTGTAGTCCCGTCAATGTCAGATTTCTCAGAGATGCTGGAAGGCGTGGAGGATTTTGATGTGTGACTTTCTGTCAGGTTCTTCAGCATATCAGAGATATCTGACAAGGCATTCTCGCGTAGCGGCGAGTTTGACATGAATGACACAACTGCAGATGTCTTTGCTGTTGTCACTGTAGATGAAGAGGATGCTGAAGACACCGATGTGGATGACAAAAGCGCTGAACCCAAAGAGCAGCTTTTGTCACTCTTCCCTTTCGTCAAATCTATGGGCTGGTCATTGTTGACGTGATAAAAATAACGGTCTAAGTGGTCTGGCTTCTTGGACTGCAGAGGTGGGGTGGCCACAGCTGCCTTTTCCGCTAGGCTGTTGCTCATTTTAAAAAGCATGCTCATTGGGTCAAGGGCAGGCAAGGAAGGCTTAGCTGCCTTCCCAAGATGAATATTCATGACAGACTGCAATGCACTTAATGGGTTTACAAATGGCTGCTCTGGAGGGTGGTCGGTGATAATAGCTGTGCTGCTGCTCAAGGAACTTGTGATGGTCTTGACAAGCTCCTTACCATTTTCCACTGGTTCTCCTGTTGGGCTGTCCTTGCAGCTCTCCCTCTGCGAAACAGGGCTATTCTGTTGGCTTTTGAACCCAATGTCATTGGAAGTGTCCATCTTGAGGGACTCGCTGACTTCACTGCTACATGGCGAAGGTGTTGCTCTCTTCATCGGAGATAACTTCCCTGCTTCAGGCTCCTTCATTTTCTCTTCAACTTTGGCCACTTTCTCGGTTACTTTCTTGACCAGCTCTTCCATGGCATGGAAGTTGGTTTTTGGCACAGGGGACGTCTGACTGCTGGGCGGGGACACCAAAGGTTGGCTTTTTGTTGGTGATACTATTTCAGCATTTCCAAACATTGGCTTCAAAGGAGTACTTTTCCCCGACGAACCTAGGGACAACTTCATCATGTTGGGCAGCTGGTAGGCAGCATGAATACTGGGATAGCCACCCCAACTGGGTGTGCCATTCTGGGCTTTGTTAATAGCTGACGTGACCGTGTTTTCTAAAGATTTCAAGATATCCAGTCCCCCTTTGGGACTCTCTTCCAAGTCATTTTCAGTCAAATAATGATATTTTGAGGAGATATCATATTTTTCCTCATCCTCACTTGATTTTTCCTTGTCTTTCATCTTCTCATCAGCAATGATTCTGTCCTTATCAACTTCTTTCTTTACCTCCATGTTTAATTTTGGGGAGATGCTAGAGGGCGTGTTGGAAGGAGACGTGAAGGTAGTGGCTGCCAGGGGCACGGACTGTACTTTCTCATCAAGCAAAGCCGTGATCGTTGGCGTGACAGGGGCCTCTATGATAGGCTTCCCTTTCTTCATGGCAGAGTTGGTGACCTTAATGAAATGTCCTGTCACCATCATGTGGGCAGTGAGCTCCTGCAAAGTATCATGGGAACTCCCACATTCCATGCACTTAAGAATTTGAGATTTCCTTGCTTCAAAATGCCAAGCATAGCTGGCACCGTTCTGGTGTCCATAGCGATTATTCGGTGTGATGTAAGGATTGGAATTCTTTTGAAGTGCATCACTGGCATCAGAGATTGTTGCTTTTGGTGTCCCACCAGTGGAGTCTGGAGAACTTGGAAGTTCTAGCTCCAATGATGTTTTCTTTCTTGGGGCTGGGATTATTTTTGCTGCTACAGGGGTTACGGGTTCCTTCAGAGGCACTTTTTGGTAATGTTTAGTTTTGATCATGTGCACACTCAAGTCTTGAAGCGACTCAAATGAATGGCCACAGTACATACACTTTAAGACTTTCTGAGCATCTTCTTTCCCTTCCATTTCGAGCAAAGAGCGCTTACGAGGCTTGGACCACCTTTTAGGGTTATTGTTATCTGTTTCGTGGTTGTCATCCCGGTAATGTCCTGTTTCATTCATGTGCACCGTTAATTCCACTAATGTATCATAGGCAGCGCTGCAGTCTTTACAGCGGAATTTACTGGCCCCAGTAAATATGGAGCCATAAAGTTTGCTGCTTTGTCTATACAACTGGACTGTGCTAAAAAGGCTAGGCTCAGGAAGGATCCTGTTCTGTGAGACCTGCTGCAGCGTCTTTGCCATGGCCGTCTGATGCCAGTCAAAGCTGCCGCTCCCACAGCTGCTGCTGCTACTGCTGCTGCTGCTGCTACTCCCATTGTTCTTCTCAGAGGTTGGCTGGTGGAGATTCAAGTTTAGATTGGACCAGTAGGAGTTGGAGAGGAAATTATTGTAGACAGCTTTCATCTGCTCCAAGCTGTCCGAGACAACAGACTCCTCCAGCTGGATGGAGACCTCTTTGCTCTCCTCCTCATTCTTGATGGAGCTGCTTTCAAAGTCGGCCATGCGATCACTGGTTTCGCTGATGTGCGACTCGCTGTCCATCTCATGGCTGGAAAACTCGGCAGCTGGAGAGTTCTGGTAGCTCTGGCAGTTCTTAGTGAAGTCCTTTTCCGGACAGGCGTATTTGGCAGAAGGTTCTCCATCGACCACGTTGTCATCAGGTTCCAAATCATCTTCTGCCATTGCTGCTGCCTTCAGTTCATCTGAAACGTAAGCTAGCAGGGTAAAAAAGAGGAAGGAAAAGCAGAGAGAGAAAATTGGCGTTAGCAATTGCTGGTCTCATGTTATATATCAGCAGCTGGCATATTTCACTCAAAGAACTACATTTATTTATTAAAATTAAACAGTTAAAATTTAGTGTTTCTTCCAAGCAAGAGGGAAGGGGGGGGGAAGAAATCTGCTCTTCGAACATAATTTGCCACCTTATTCTTCTCAAGGGGCAACAGCTTGAAATTAAAACTAAATTTGAAATTAATGAAGCACATTCTGGAGGTGGCATTCATTTCTAAAGTAATAAATTACTTGTATCAACCTCAGAGACAGCAGTTCCTGTCTGTCAATTAATATGTCTTATGCTTCTCCTACCCCTAATGTATTTCTTAACAGACAGATTCACAATTTAAATTAAGCCAGATTTTTTTTTACTCATTACATTTTTGAGAACCAATCTTTAATAAAACATAAAAACATCAATAAAGGAAAAAATCTCACAAACAACAACAACAAAAGTGCCTCAATTACAAGAAAATTAAAAGCTCATATTTGCATGTTGGGGCTGCTTAGAAAGGCAGGGATTACATTGAGAGTGAGGGCTTAACCGCAGAAGGTGTTTTGAGCCCAGAAGCAGTGACACATTCAAACCTTTTTACATCTTCATTTTGCTCTGGGTTTTGGAGTTCTGAATTTCCTGATACTTTTTCCAGAACGTAAGCCATGAACCATTAGAGCCCTCCGTGCTCCCAGTTTCTAATTTCTAAATTTTGTACAAATTGCCACACCTTATTTTTGTTATTGCAAAAAGCTGTTTTTATCCCCCCCCCCAAATAAATAAATAATGTTGTTGATTTGTTAGCAAAACAAAAAGTGCAAGGAAAATTTATGGTTCACGGTTTTTATTCTTTGTTTTCTTTCTTTTTAGGTTATGTTTGTTGCTTTTTTTGTTTAAACCGTTTTTCATATTGTGTTTCAATGCCTTGGGACCTTAGGGTGAAGGACAAGTAATAAATTATGATTGTGATTGTTAATTATAGTAAGTATTAGGTACTTACTAGGTATGTAATAGGAAGTACAAGAGTAGTCAACAATCAGTAATAAGGGCTTCCTGGAAGACTTGAAGTCCTGAGTTTCTTTTTTCTTCTTAAATAGGAATTAATTTTGGATAGGGAAAAGCTAGGAGGGGACATCAGGTGAATCAATGTGGAAATATTACCCTAACAGAGATCCAACATCTCTATTACTTGTGCTACAAATGTCCAATTACTATTGCAAAGACTTCTTGACATGAAGCAAGAACAAGGAGAATGACAGCAGAAGCGAGATTGGGAAAATTTGTATGCTGCCCTTATTCTTCCAGAATAAATATATACAAGATCTTCCAGTGGACATTACAAATGTCAAAGTGTTTGCTCTTTAGACTACTTTGTCAATATTTACTCACCATAAGCTACAGGGGTACCCAACAGAGATCCTGCACTGCACTGTGTTTTCTTTCAAGGATGAGAAATGGTGGTCTGAGGTTGCACTAAGGTTTTCGGTGACTCAGGTGGCTATTTAAAATCATTAAATTTCCTTCTCTCATACTACGAGAACTTGGGGTCATCTAAAGAAGCTGAATGCTGGGAGATTCAGGACAGGCAAGACTTTCTCACACAGCACAGAGTTGAAAGTATGGAACTTGCCCAGTGGTGGCTGCCAATTCGGATGGCTTTAAAAGAGGATTAGAAAAATTCATGGAGGAGATGGCTATCGATGGCCACTAGCCAGGACTGCAGTGTTCTACCTCTGCTGTTGGAAGCAGAATGTCTCTGAATCCCAGTTGCAGGGAAAGTGCTGCTGTGCTTGGGTTTCCATTTGTGGGCATCTGGTTGGCCACTATGAGGACAGGAAGCAGCGCTAAATGAGCCACAAGCCTGATCCAGGAGGCTCTTCTTATGTCCTTATGTCCTGAAATCCCACCAGCATGGGTGTGCTAGCTGGGACTGTTGGGAGTTGTAGTCCTACACCTTGGAAGGGCACCAGGTTGGCCAAGGCTGCCATAAGAGATCCCCAGTGGAACAGACCAACTGTCCAACTAGTTCAGCATCTTGTTCCAAAGTGATCAAAGAGGTACTTCTGGAAATGCCCAGAGAAGGGTTTGAAGGTAACACCTCTCCACTGTTGTTGCTTATCCAAAACAGTTGCTACTCAGCCTCTTGATAGATCTGTTCCTCATTAATTTAGCCAGCTGACATTTCCACTAGGCCTGCCTCTCTGCCTTTCTGTTCTTCACAACCAGACAACACAACCAGGGAAAAGATATGCATTCAGATATCTTCAACTATTTTCAGACTCAAATCATAGCAAATGAGACGTGCTACTCTACATATGTGCAGGTAGTAGAATCAACGGAGTCTGTAATTAGGAATCTACATGAAATCCCCATGTTGGAGTTTGCAAGAGTATCAGAAGTGTATTGAATACTGTGTGTGTGTGTGTGTGTGTGTGTGTGTGTGTGTGTGCACTTGGTTGGGTGAGTGGGTTGCAGGGAGACTTACCCCAAAGACTGATGGATTGATAGCAATGCTTATTACTCTGTTCACCAGAAACATCGGGAACATTAATTTTGAATGGGTTGAGTTGATTCATGCTTTACAACTGCTGCTAACTCCTGGTTCTTTTGTATGAAGTCTTTCTGAAGCCAGCAGTAAGTCACACTAACTGCTTCACTGCCCTGAACCCCACCACTCTAAGAATCCTTCATAGCCTTCTTCAGGAATTAGGTATCACACATTCGAAGGTTATACAGAAATTGTCTACAAGCACCTAGTCCTACACTTGATGCTGCTGTTCCCATCTTCCCCTGCTCATCCCATCACCCCTCAGTCTTCCACACATTGAGCAGAAGTTCTGTATTCAACTAAACATGTGTGGTCTCCACCTTGGGAACTTCTGCCCAACACATGGAGGTCGGGGTGTGTGTGTGGAGTTGGCAGGGAGTGACATGCAACATATTCCTCCTTCTCGTTGTCTCAAAAGTCTCTCCACCAAGCACTCCTTTGTCTCCTTACAATATGGCTTCCATCATTCACACTCCCTAAACCTGCCAACATTATATTGACTGGTATCGTTGTTATTGTTAATTACCCACCCTTCACTCTATGGTCTCAGGTTGGGCAACAATAATAACAACAACATGCTACCCTTCTATACAATCCCACCTCTCCAAGTGACCTTCTTGATATTTATGGCAGGATTCAGGCACAAAAACAGTTTATTTTCATGTCCAGATCTGAGTCAGTTCTCAAACCATGGTTTGTTGGGGGCTAAAAAGTCAGTCTGCAGCCACCTTTCAAATCACAGTTTGCACTAATTGCGATTTGAAAGATCATTGATAAACCACACTACTATGATTGGGGCAGCACCCTCAAACTCAATTCATGTTTTTCCATCAGGCTGCTTCGGCAGGAAAGATGAGAAGAAGGCCTTGTTCCAACAGGTCTGCCAAAAGACCAGCTCCATCAGGTAACTCCTACCCTAAATTGTTTCTATGCCAGTTGGTCATTATAAGAGCTACTATTTAAGAACTGGTACTTGAGTTTGCTTTCCCCCCCTTCCCTCCTTGTCTCCTTTCCCTTGTGTGTCATTTTTACATAAATTGTAAGCTTGCCTGCTTGTTTTACCTGATTGTACATAAACCACTCTGGGAGCCATTTTGGCTGAAGAGCAGGGTACAAACACTTTAAGTAATAATGGCAGCAAAAACACCACCACAACTGCCATTAGACTCATGCAGCAAAGCCACCTGTCAGAATTGAAGGGAGCTGTAGTCCAATAACATCTGGAGGGCTCCAGGCTGAGAGAGGGCCAGTATTCATTTCCAAGAGTCTGCATCATGGAGAGTTGGGTGAACTTAAGAAGCTCTTTTCATAATCCATATGCACATCCATTATTTGGATATGTGTTTAAATGCATATTTTATCACAAAATATTTTAATGTGTATTTTATCTCAATGTATGCATTTCTAAATATATTTTAGCCTTAGCTATCCTTCAGTTTTACATATTCCAGTACATTTTCAGTCGATAATGGCAGAGAAGTGTTAGAGTGTTAGATTGCAATCTGTATACTAGTCCAGGAACTGAAAATTCTCCTCCATCCTCCAGGTCAAGTTGCTTTTCCTTTTCCAACATTGCAAAAATAAGGCCCTTCCTCTTCCCTGTCCTCTTGGCAGTACAGAATAGAATAGAATAGAATAGAATAGGTTCATGATCTGTATCTCCTATCTTCTGCCCTCTTCCACTGCCCCATCTTAATTCTCACCTCTCTCCAGACCTTGACTCTGCTGACAAAAATCATTCACTTCTTTTATAGCCCAGGGCATGCCCATCATTAAAATTGCCTTCCTGCCTGCTCCCAGAACTGCCACAAATTTCTCAACCTTTCCTTCAGAGCCCTCTGTGGCCTTGTTCCCTGCCACCTTCAGACCTAGAACTCATATTATCTCTTCTTCCAGCTGCACCACATTCAACCATCTAAATCTCTCTCTTTTCCTTTCTAATGGAAGCTACGACAGAATTGTGAGGCTGCACCAACTCTTTCTCCTCAAAGCTCACTTTTGGCACAAACCCTTAACTCCGATGCTCTCACTGCATCTATGCTCCATCCCCTGAAAAGAAGATGGCTACCTGAAGCACAGAGATCGCACAGGTTATGGCATAAGTAGTTGGGATGTGACAAATGTGCCTCCACACCCTCTCAAAGGTGGGAGCAGCATTGTATACATTTGAGTTCTTCAGTTTCAGATCTTCAGTTGTCACTTGGACTAAAAACCCCATCATCCCTAGCCAGCTCAGCCAATTGTCAAGGATGCTGGAAATTGTAATCCAACAATCTTTGGGGTTCCAAGGCTGAAAATAACTGGTCTACAATGACTGGCAGTGGCTCCCCAGGATTTTACACTAACCCTACCTGGAGAGGTAGGGGACTGAATCTGGGAACTTTTGCAAGCAGAGCCTCTGAGCGGCAGCCATGCCTTGGGCATATTTAACAAGCCAGATCCCTGATTGGTACTGCAAGTCAAATGTGTTAATGCTATGCGTTCAAATAAGACAATTACACAGATGAGGATACAATGGGAGCGATAACAGAATACGTGTTTTCTTCTATTATAGCAGTTACCATCCCCCCAAACACAGAACTCTGCAAATTTATGTTATGCATCTAATTTCCCTTTCAATCCCTTCCATCTTTGTTTTGATGTATTCAAGAGAAGGAGTCCAAATTCTTATGCCTGAAGCCACCCAGGCTGAGAAAGTTTAGAGCCTGTTCTTGCTGTCTCTCACACATATCGCTCGGTAACACATCACTTGATGGCTAATCACTGGAAAACTTGGAGCTGAATGTGTAAGCCGCCTCAAATGAAAAGTGTGTGGTATGAAATGACACAAGTTGATTCAACTGTTCATTTTAGGGTGCTTGATTTGTAACTGCAAATAATCGGTTGTAGTTTCTGACCTCTTTGAAAACACAACTCTATTTGAATGCAGATTTGACAGGGCACGGGGGTTGTTTGTGACGAGGAATGTACACCTATCGTCTTATTTGATTTTTGCATAATCTAGGTCACATCCAAACCGTTCATTTAAAGCACTGTTATACAACTGATAACAGTCATGGGGGATCCTGGGAACTGTAGTTTAAGGGTGCTCATAGACACACACACGCCAAGCTACAATTCTTAGCAGCCTTAACAAGCAGCAGTTCCTAGGATTCTCCATAACTGTTCAGCCTAGCTCTACTGTGTGTGGGTTGACTTTGCTCACTGGGGGTGGCATCTCCATTGCCCTCTCATGAGGTCTTGCAGGGTGGCGTCGTTCTGTGGGATCTCGTGAGAAGGAGAAAGGGTAAGGCCTTCAAAGGCTTCACTCACATGTGCTTAGGCCATGTTGCCCCTAGTGAGCTTCCCATCCCACCCTCCCTCAATATTAGTATTTCACTGAGCTACTTGGGTTGCTGGTTGACAGGGCCAGAAATGATTTTTTCTCCCAACCTTAACTGCCCTCTTGACTGGTTTCCCCTCTACCATTCCCTTAATGATTTCAGGCTTACTCTTGCTAGGTGATGGTTGGACTTCTGCATATTGGTGGAGATGTCATGAGGCAGGATCAAAATAGTGAAGGAAGCCCCCCTGTGGCAAGGGGAGAGATTGGCCATGGCATGCCCTAAGCTCAGGTTAGGGCCCCTGCATGGCTGGAATCTTTCACCCTGGTCACCCAGTGAAATGCTGGGCACCTGGCTCAGGTGGTTGAGGTGCTTCTTAACCCTGAAAGAGGTTGAGGTGTTTCCTAACCCTGACAGAAGACCATTCTGACAGCAAGGGTTGGTGGAATGTAGAGCGATACCACTATCCTGCTGCCATGCCAACCCCACTTTCTGCTGTAGTCAATCACGATTTAGTCTGATTCTTACACAACTCTATGTCCTGTCCTGCATATTTCACTGTTATCACAGGGCCACAGATTGCCACCTTCATGGGCAAAAGTAACTTTCTAAGTCCTGCAACTATGCACATTTTGCCCTATTGCCCCTAAGCTAGATTGTTGCCTTTGGATACAGTGGAGAACTCTGTCCACAGCTGCCAGTTCATCCAGCTTCCATAAATGAAATTGGAAAAGGGAAGCTATCTTTGCCTTTCACTTCAGGCAGCGTATCTCTTCAGGATGGTCCTGTTGGTTAGACTTCTTTCTCTGAAGCCAAACTCTGAATACACCACTATTCAAGTTAGTACAATATGCTCAGATTTCTTTCTGTGTGTGAAAGAGAGAAGCAGAGAAACACAGCAGAGAAACCGAGGCACACTACATGAATTTGTATGACAACATTTGTATAAGAGCGTTAACCCAGGTCTCTCACTCTCTGGTGAGTTCAGCTGGTACACATACTAACAGTAATGAACTACCTGTTCTGGAATCCTTCTGGGCCCAAGATTGTTCTTCTGGTTTTAGAAGTAGGGTCAAAAGAGGCAGTAAAAAGGTTGTTAATGGTGGATATGTAAGAATAATTACCTCTTCCCCTAAAAAAGAAGGTTGAGTGCACATCTTTTGGGATTCCATGCTTATAAAACCTGGCTTTTGAGGGGTTGTGGATAGGTTAACATGCAAGTTTGGGAATTCTGACAAAGGTTGCTATCATCATAGTTGCTTTCTATCTTCCACCCTTTGGGGCCAATAAAGCAGCAATTGAAATGCCGTGTAAATTCTACCATGATATGAACACAATCATGACCCTATTTATTACTATTTCACATTTGCAGAACAAAGCCAAAACATTGGAATCCTTCCCTCACCTTCATAGAAATGTGCACATGTGTCATGCGCGCAGTCGCCTGGAAAAGTTTCCAGACTATGTGGATTTTTGCAAAGCCCAAACAAGCGATTCCTTATTGATTTAGTGACTGAAACCTTGGACACACACTGCTTAGATTTGGAATCAAATTGAGGATTCTGCACAGTGCCATCAATTTGCACTCGCTACCAAGATCTGGCCCAGTAGAGAGTCTGTGCTCTGGGCTGTATATGCTAACTGATTAGAGTGGGAAGAATGAGACTATGAATCACACCTTTTTCATTTCAAGAAGAATATTTGGCTAGGTTTTCAGGGGGCCTCTGTCTCTGGAAAATATGGCACATTAAAAACTACCACTGCACAAAACCTCATTTTTATATGTTAGCTGTGCTCTATAGGGATATCAGACTATAGCTTCTAAACTTTTTCTAAGCTGAGAGGAAAGCAGGAACAGGGGAAAATAAAAAATTACTGAGAAAGAAATATTCAGCCTTCTTCCATTCCTCCCTTATCCTACACTATGAGGACCAGTCCTACCATTAGGCAGAATGAGGAAGCTGTATAGAAATGTCATGAAAATTGTTACCAAAGGTTCCATCTGCACTAACCATTTTAAACAGTAACATAACACTTTAAAGAGTCACAGCTTCCTTCAAGGAGTCCTGGGACCTGCAGTCTATTTAAGGTGCTGAGAGTTGTTAAGAGGCCCCTATCAATATCTCTTCCTAGGGAACTCTGGGAATTATATATCTCGGAGGCAACTAGGGGTCTCCTAACAACTCTCAGTGCCGTAAGCAAACTGTGCATCTCAGGATTCACGACTGTTTAAAGTGGTATGATACTGTTTTAAATTTATAGTGCAGATGGGGCCTAATTTAATGTTGTATTTTTAGTTCCAGTGGGAGGCAGTGGTGGGATTTTTCTATCTCAGGTGCCATCATAACTGTCTCAGCCTTGAGTGCTTTGATTCAGGGACTGGGCACCATCTGCTATTGTGGCTCAAGGAGCAAAACGTTCTGGGCTGGCCCCATTTGCTGGTGCCAAGTTGAGCCTATCACAATCCAAGACAAACTTTGGAAGGCTGGTAGGGAAATGAAGGAGTCAGAATGATATACAGTAAGTCCGCAACTTACGTGGATGCTAGGTTCTGAGGATCGCACCTAAATCCAAAATTGGGCATAGTCAAAACACATTGGGTTCAATGGTGGGTGGGATTGCCAAAGTCATTTTTCTGGAACCCTGGCCCACTTTTTATTTTTAAAATTCTGCCACACGTGTAAACCTGAATGCACACAAGTTAAATGTGCATAAGTTGCAGGCTTACTGTAAATACCAAATCGATCTAGCCTACTAAGCTGAAAACAGATTATCAAGATGCTTCACAAATGATAAGGTAGGAAGGAATTGCTAGTATTTTTTTGTGCCAGGGGAAGGCAAGAATTAATAAATAATCACATGCTTCTTGGGGGTCAAAGTACTAGGGATTCCAATACCAGTTGCTGGAAACCACAGGAGGGGAGAGTGCCCTGGTGTTCAGGTTCCCCTTGGGACATCTGGTTGGCCACTGTGAGCACAGAATGCCAGACTAGATGGACCATTGGCCTGATTCAGAAGGCTGTTCTTATGTTCCAGTGGTTTTACTCCCCCTCTAGAGCACTGATTTGTCCCACCTAATACAGTGGTACCTCAGGTTAAGTACTTAATTTGTTCCGGAGGTCCGTTCTTAACCTGAAACTGTTCGTAACCTGAAGCACCACTTCAGCTAATGGGGCCTCTGGCTGCTGCCGCTCCGCCGGAGCATGATTTCTGTTCTCATCCTGAAGCAAAGTTCTTAACCCGAGGTAATATTTCTGGGTTGTAACCTGAAGCATATGTAACCCAAGGTACCACTGTAAATATTTTTGATAAACCTAAAGAACACCAAGCTTTTCAGTGAGCACCATCTCCATATACAGAAGAAGCATTTCTTAGAATAGGAATATTTCTGGGGGTTTTGGGGGTTTTTTAATAAAAGATTGGTGACAGGTGATTCTTCACCCACACCCCCAAGGGTATGCTTTGGAGACCCACCCATCAGATGCACCCAGCTCGGGCTACCCAAAATTCCACCTGGTGCAAGTTTTTCAGTAAGCAGGAGGAAGAGTAGATAAATGTGTCACCAAATCTGTCTTCTGAACTGATTCCAGAAATACCAAATGCCATCACTTCCCATTTCATGCCTGTCTTTGGGTGGCATGTTTTAATCACTCTGGAAAATGCCAGTCCACTGAAAGAAACGGATATAAGGCCAACAGCCAACATTAGGATGTAAGCAGACCCAAGAATCAGGGCACTCAATATGCCTCTAATGACTCTTAATTATTATGATTCTTCACAAAATGTTCAGAAGAAACTTTAGTTTCCTCCATCCAAATCAGAAAGCGACATTCAGACCATTAGGCTTCTAGACTGTCTCATCACTGTCATGTTTGGAATGGCAGAACTGAGATGTGAAAGGCAAGCAGCAAAATGACTCTTTAAACGTCTCAGGACTCTTGCTTCTAAATGAATTTCACGTTCTGTCCACTATCACCCCACTCCGGCCCAGCCAATTGCCCCACAATTTCTGCTCATTTATAGTATTTGAAAACCTAAATGAGGCAAACTGGATGTCCACTTGATGTAATTGACATTAGGCAGGCGGGCACCTTTTCATTATACTGGCAAAACCATTTTCTAAAGACACATACAGCAAGTTATCACGCATCCAAAATGATGAAGAACTAGTTCCACAGATAAAAAGCCAATTAGTCAGGGGACGATATGAACTCAGGAACTGGACATGCCAGCTGTATGACAAAACAATGCAACTATTATTATTATTATTATTATTATTATTATTATTATTATTACTATTCCTTCTCTTCATCCAAAGGTCCCAGGGTGGGTTAAAACATTTAAACACAATATTAAAAACAGTTTAAAACAACTTGCAGCCATAAAAATAATATGTGTCCTATAAATATATACGGCATGTGTCAAAAGCCAAGGTCAAAAGGTGCAGCATTCACAGAAAGCTGTACAATGAAGTTGCTGTGAGGAGGGAGTTCCACAGTGTAGGGGCCACCACAGAGAAGGACTTCTCCCAAGCCACCATCACTACCCATGAGGCTCTGAGGGTGGAATAACTACCAAGAGGGCCCCCTCAGCCAATCCCAGTGCCCGAGAAGGTCTGTAGGGAAGACGGCAGTCTTTCAGGAATTCAGGATCATTTACTTTAAGTTGTGTCTAAACCAGAATAGGAAGAGGGACGACCATACCTCCCAAGAGAGAGAAGCTGTGTACATACCAACCCGTTTTCAGTGCAAAAATGAAGTTTTTCTAAATCTGGAATTGTTCATGCTCATCCTCAGCATGCTGCTTTCAATCTAGATTGAATCTTCCTATGTTCAGCTTCATTGAATGTTATGAGAGTGGGAGAAAGACTATCCGCTTTCTCTATGCCATGTGTAATTTTATTAATCATTGATGCATAATGTATATTTTGTTCTGTGGTTGAAATGACCATGATGGACAATACAGCAACAATAAACCATATATTATTATTAATTTTATATACTTCTACCCAGTCCCCTATTACTTGCCTTTACTCTAAGGTGAAAAGCCACCCTATGCCCTTGATTACTTTGGTTGCCCCTTTCTGAACCTTTTCCCAACTTAGCAATACCTTATTTGAGGTGAGGCAACCAGGTTTTTAAAGACAACCAGGAATGGGATGAAGATGTTGTTTCCATCATGCCAACCACAGCTACCTCTATTTTTATTTTATTTTTTTAAAAAGTGTCCTCAGCACAATATGTGAAGAGAACACTTTACAGTTCCAATTGTGAGCTTCAATGTCACAGAAGAAAAAGGCACTTGTCCAATGCCTTTCCCTTGCAAACACCCTCATCATGACCTGTGTTAATGAAGTTAATTGAATTTAAGATCAATAATGGTTAATTATTGCGATTTGACATTCTGAGATAAATGGCTTTAAGACGGAGAAATGTGTATGTGTGTGTGTGTATGAATGTTCACCAAAAGAAGGTTGAATGCATTAGAGCCTTAAGAGGGATCACGCAAGCCTCCCATTGATCCCTGGGACAATCTGATCGACTTAATCCCCTGATGAATGTGGGCTTTTTCACAGCTACAAGTAAATGTTCTACAAGACTACTCTAACCCTTGTCACTGACCAAATCTATACGAGCCGGAAATCCATTGAGATAGATTAAAGAGGGGCTGAGGATACAAGAGTGATGCTTCAAATAAAGGAGAAAGTTTATCATATTGACTATTTACGCAAAGTATAGAGTACACCATTATGAATCACAGAGGCTGGGTTTTAGAGTAGTCTGATTACGCTGCATGGTGATGAAAAAGTTAGCAAAGGCTCTAATGTCCTTAAAAATAAAACCCGTGTCCATTTCACATGGTACCACCTCTTTTCCTGTCTTCAGATCCCACCTTCAAGCACACCTGTTCCATGTGACCATTGGCCCATCAATGTAACACAGGAAACTAACTGCCTTAAGCTGACTCAGACCAGTGGTCTATCAGGCTACACGGGCTGGCCGCCCGTCCTACCCCAGGGGAAGCTATGAGCCATGAAGCCGCCTGGCAGAACTTCCCTCCGGCGGCAGAAGCAGCAGCAGCAGCAGCCCTTCTCCGGCCGCCGCCGCCTCCTCCTCCATCCCAGCAGCCGCCGCCTCTCGAGCTCCGCTGCCGCCGCCGCCTTGCTTTGCCCGGCTCGGCTGCCCAGCTCCATCCCCCTCCTCTTTCTGGCGCTTCTGCTTTTCTGCTCAGGGTCCCCGAGGATCTGCGGAGCCGCGGCAAAGGTGTAAAAGAGCCGCGGGTTGCCGACCCCTGACCTAGTCCATTGTCTAAGCATGACCTGAGTAATGGCCAGCTCTGCTCTCTCGTAAAGATGATTCACACATTCTTCTTCATTTCTGTTTGTAACATTGAGTGTTTATTATGGCTTTATTATTTCTAAAACTTATATCCCACCCTTCTTCCCAAAGGAGCCCTGGCCAGCAAACACATCTATGGTGTGTGTGTGTGTGTTTGTGTGTGTGTGTGTACCATTTAAAATAAAACAGAAGTATATTTACAACAATTGAAATTATAATAAAATGTTCTAAACACATTTAAAAACAGTCATCAGCAAATCATGTGCAGGTATCTAAAGGAAGAAAATACTGACTATGCCTGCCTAATGTCAATGGGCAAGGAATTCCAAAGTGAATCAGCCATTGCACAGTGAAGATATTGCGGTTCAAGCTTTGTGAGCTATACTTTATTGATACCAGCAACAAAAAGTTGTGGTGTGGAGTCCTCCAGCTTACAGGCTCTTCCAGGAATTTCCATTTCATTCCATCACTAAAGTCGGCAAACGTTCCATGTCCAATGAGCATGTTTAGTTTTCCTTGGCCTGGTTTTGGATCCTCCCTTCCGAATCTCACCCTCCCCCCAAAGCCAGAGGATATCTCCTTCTTGTGTGTGGATGGCACTGTCTCAGCTGTGTAAGGATCCACACTCAAATAACAGAGAACATTACTGAACACTATTTAACTGAACGTCACAAAATGCTGAAAAGTGGCTTACAAATTCTGCCAATAAATAAATGAATACAGTGCTAGGCGACCCTTCAAGTGAAATAATTTTCAACATAATCAGTCGACACATTCGGGTACAAGTTATAAAAAGTTCAGAAATCAAAGGAAGACAAATCATGGGCAGTTAATATAGGCTTGAACTGGCCCACGGTTCCACCGAAGGTATTTTAGGATTAGCTCAGCATACACAGAGAATAAGAAAGGCTCAAAGATGTGGGCTAGTCTTCCTTCCTTCCTTCCTTCCTTCCTTCCTTCCTTCCTTCCTTCCTTCCTTCCTTCCTTTATTTTTTTAAACTGCCAGTAACCTACTTTTTTTCGAGATGCACCAAGTTTGCTTTGCTGACAGTTCCTCCCTGTGAAGGAAGATCCCGCCGATGTGTTCCGATTGGAAGTTGTACATGCACACTGAACAAGTTAAATGACCATTTACAAGATTTGTAATGACAAAGTAAACGTTGTCAAGGAAAGAAGAAAAAGAAGAAAAATATTCCTGATTGCGGAGTGCTGACAATAAGGCGATGCTGAAGAGTTCTGTCAAAATGTAAGATTATGCAAAAACACTATTGAGAACACTGCTAATCATCTGCTCTTGTCAATTACTTGAAGGGTATCTGACAGCATATTTACATTAAACACATTTCAGAAGCAAACTCCTTAATGCTCTACTGGAATATTTTTTCAGTGCCACGAGGAATCCTTGAAAGGATCCCTTTGCAGCAAGGCAGCATTAATGGCATAACACAAAAGTCTAGACCTGGCAGTTGAGTCCACTACTTTATGCAATTTACTGTTGGATTCAATTCCAAAGGATATGACAATTAGCAAGGGCTTCTTTTTCTGGGATTGTTTTAGTGCAATGCCATCATTGGAGGTAGAACTTTACAAAATAACAATTCACAGGGTGGTGGTGGCAGAAAAGGTTTCTGCCCCAGGGAGCTTACAAAGTCACAGATTGACAGGGGGAGAAGAAATTAGGGATGGAGAGATGAGACTCTCAAACCAGAAGATTGCAGTTAGAAGAGACACAAGGAACAAAAGCAAGAAAAGCAGTCAGTGATGAACAGTGGAATCTGTCAATTTTGGTTTTTACCTCATTTCCATTTTGTTGTAGCATTAAGTTCAGTTCCCCACGTTTCTACAATTATTTGCAATTTAAAATTTCATTACAGAAATTTATCAGCATTTGGTCTCAATCCCTCCTAATATACACATTTTTATATGTATTCCCCCCCATACACATTTATGCAAAGCAATTTTCTTAATGTAGGGCTGCCATATTTCAAAAAGCAAAAACCAGGACACCCCAAAGTGTCCTGAGCTTCTTCTTTTTAGGAAAACCCTCCTTTTATTATTACAAAAACACCAAAAAAAGCAATTTATTTATTTTTTCAATTGACTTGCCTAAGATCCATGACAAAGCGCCACCTTTTGGAAATTCCCCCCAGAAGTCAACTCCACCTTTGAAATGCCGGTGATGTCTGGGAAAATCCAGACGTATGGCAGCCCTACCTAATATAATGTGGGGAGTTTTCCCACTGGGACACCCATTTCTATGCATACTTTACACTGGTATAACCATTGTTGAAATCACCACTTGACTTGAGAAGTGCACTGCAAAATTAGGAGATACATGGATAGATTTCTGAGTGACTTGAAGTAGATTCAGGAGTGTTCATATCTCCCAGTGGTTTAATGAAAGCAATGATGAAAAGGCTCTCCTCATCTTCACACACAAACACACACACAGAGACACACTTATAGGTGTGAGATACATGGAAAGCTTTGGGGGGAACCTGGAAGGGACTTTTGTGTGAATTGGCTGTGATTCCAGAACCAATTCCTAAACTGATCGTGTGCTTGGAGACTTTCATCCTCTTAATTCTAAATATATGTCCACCACACCCTGCTCTTTCACTACTGCCTTGGGTTGATGGACCTCAAGTAGATCCTGTAGTGCTGACATTTGCCCTCCCCTCATGCAGGTGAATTCTTTACCTCCAGCATCTCTTCAGACATACCTTTCATATCACCTGCCATCTGATATATATTTTTAAAAAACAACTACTAGAGATGAACTCACGAGCTTCTGAATGCATAGCATGTCCTTGATCTCTGGCCTCCTACGCTTAATGATGGGACAAAGTTGCTGGGAGCCTGAGCTCTGAACCAAGAAACCCAAATTCAAACTTGTCACAAACTCAAAAAGTGGTTTGGGGGTCAAATAATTCTCTCTGTACCTCAGTCTCCATCCGTCGTGTGCGGAGAAATGTATTGGCCTGCTTTACAAGAATGCTGCCGGGTTATAAGAAAACATATGTGCAGCACATCGGACATTTGAAAGTCTTAAAAAGTCATTTGAAAGTTTAATAAAAGAAAAAATAAAATAGAAAGTTTAATAAACAATGATGATGACTGCTAGTAAAGGTGAGCTTGTCCATTCCTCGTACAGTGGTACCTCAGGTTAATTCGTTCTGGAGGTCTGTTCTTAACCTGAAACTGTTCTTAACCTGAAGCACCACTTTAGCTAATGGGGCCTCCTGCTGCCGCCGCGCCGCTGGAGCACGATTTCTGTTCTCATCCTGAAGCAAAGTTCTTAACCCGAGGTAATATTTCTGGGTTAGTGGAGTCTGTAACCTGAAGCGTATGTAACCTGAAGCGTATGTAACCCGAGGTACCCCTGTATTGCTGTACTCTACAAAGAACAGCGCAGAGTTAAAGTAGGCCCACATTTTACAGGTATAGCCATTTAACTTGAGCAATTGCAACTATACACAGACAAGGTAGGGATGCTCTTGTGAGATCCTGCAGGGAGTTGGATTGTCCAGCAGGATCTTGCAAGAGCAACCCCACCACTCTTGGTGCCAGTGTGATGAGCAGTCCATTCCTGGGAAGCAAGGCCATGGTTTTACAATCTGTCTGTGCTGGGTAACCATGAGTGGATCCAGCATAAAAAGCACTTTTAAGCTCTTGGCCTTGCTGCCTGCTCTGCCCTCCCCTCACCAACTGCCTTACAGAAAGCAGGGTCCTAGGGTAATGAGATTCTGAATATATTGTGAATTTAACATATACGCATTAACCTTGGGATCGAACCCAGACCATCCAAGAGTCCCTATTTTCCAAGGACAGTCTCAGATTTACAGAGGTCATCCTGGTTTCTGATTTGATCTCAGACTGTCCTGCTTTTTCCTTAGGATGTCCCTATATTCATTGGAGAAATGTTGGAGCGTATGGAGTCATGCAAACAGTCTGGAGTCAAGGAGATAAGTAACTATACAACCCTTAGAAGACATCTGAAGGCAGCCCTGTACAGGGAAGTTTTTCTTAAATGTTTAATGTTTTGTTTTGTTTTTTATATATGTTGGAAGCCGCCCAGAGTGGGACAACCCAGTCAGATGGGCAGGGTATAAGTATAATAGTAATAATAATAGTAATGATAATGGAATAGGACATCCTTATTTTCATCAGAGGAACGTTGAACGGTATGCAAACCCCTGCATAAGATGCAAGACTCTTGTACTTGCATTTTTACCCCTCAATTCTATATCTTTAAGAACAGATTTAGGAGACCTTTCCTGCTCACCACTGACCACCCACCACGCAAAGCACACCATTGTTTGCAGTCACCAAATCAATTTAGAACTGAAGTTAGAATCGGGATTCAAGACTACCTTAACAGATTGGAGAATTGGGCCCAAACTAAAAAAATGAATTCAAATAGGGACAAATGTAAGGTTCTGAAGTTAGACAGGCATAATCAGATGCAGAAATATAGGATGGGGCTTGACAGAAAGACATGTACAGGAAACAGACAACAGAGAATGGTGGAGAGAACATGAAGAGGCATATTTCCAAAGGTGCTTGTGAGATGCTGCCAAAAGAAGAAGAAGAAGAGGAGGCAGAGGAGGAGAAATATATACTATAACTCATTCTTTTGTTCACTGTTTTAGCTATAGATCCCAACAGAGATCCCTCTATCTATCTATCTATCTATCTATCTATCTGAGAGAGACATTTTCTACCACTTCCTTTTTCTTCACCACAGGGTCCACAAAAGCAGAGAGGAGCAATAGCCACATCCAACATGGCAAAATCCCATTTGAAAGAGAGGCAGAAAGTGAGAAAGTCTGGATTTTTTGCAATTGGGGGAGGT